CTGAATCCTTAAAGGATTACTATCAGCTTAGACCTTCGAAGAATCTCATGGCATAGGGCAAGCCATGTTCTAGATAAAGTAGAAGTCAGTCCTCACCTTTAGTGGTAAACTTTTGGCCTTATTTGTTTTGGTGTGGGCTAGCTGTAATAGTAGACTTGTCTGCATGTACATGCAGTTACTTTTATGAATATTCAAGCAATGCAGCATTAAATCTCTGCATGCAGCTTGTTTGCTCTTTTACCTGGTCCAAATACATGCAAAACTCCACTGTTTTTTTTATACTGGTAAATTGCAAAACTTTGCTAATTATGGATTAGCAAGAGGTAAACGGTGACATACCGTGGCACTACATTTCCACATAGGTTTTTAACATCAGCCCAACCGCCTGAGTTATCAGTGAGGCTGTTAGAAAACTACTTGTAAAGGAAATGCATTTATGGAGTTCTTAGTAAAGAGTTAAGGGTGCTATTAAATATAAGACTAGTGCCTGCAGTACCTAGCTTGGGCTTTAATGTGGCAGATGACATGTTTAGGTAAAATATTCCTTTGCACACTGCTTTGCTGATTGTTAAGACCCACTGTATAATATAAAACAGTGACAACAGATGCTGGAAAAAGAATAGGCCCAGCTGACTGGTATATACACAGCGTGAACCCGAGTGACCCCAGTGCCTTTGACAGCCAGCTCTTACATAATTTTGGAAATGTCTGAGTGATTCCGCACACACTCCATTGACTTAACAGGGAATGTTTTGCCTCTGCCAAGTCTTTGTATAAACTTGGTGATTTTTAAAAATCACAGCTTATTTTTCTCTCGTTGTTGGGTGCCGTGTTTTCATGTTTAGTGTCATTGCAAATATGCATGTTTGATCAAGACAAAATCTCCTGGGAGCCTTGTTACAACAGAAGCACAACAAAGCCTAATGGCTGCCTTTAACACATCGCAGGTAGCCTTTCACAGCACCCTATAAAAAGAGTCTGGAGACTTGCTGTCTGAATGTATAGACTTTTTGTCCACGCCAAATAAATTCCCATGAACAGCCTACAGCACAAGGGTGCTTATGGAAACTCCTCTGTTTATAGCTGGTTCTCGTCTCCCATGTTCTCTTGTCATCACTTGAGACCCACACCAAATCCCTGGATAATTCTTTCTGTCCGTCACTGACACACACATGCATACTTTTCTACACACACTCAGATTCTCAGTGCTTTGGGAGGTCTAACGGTTTGTGATGGTGAAATATCAAATTCTGTGTCTGATGGATATAATCAGAATGAGTAGTCTAGTTACCTCTATTCAACCCATTTTTTGCAATAAACATAGCTGTTATGTTCAATGTTTGAGAAGCAGAATCCTTCAGGGATTACTGTCAACTTGGACTTTCCATGAATTTAATGATATAGGACAAGACGTTCTAGATAAAACTGAAGTCAATCCTTATATTTAGTGCTGAACATTTGGCCTTACTTATTTTGTGTGGGCTAGCTGTGATGGTAGATTTGTCTGCATGAGCATGCAATTTCTCTGTGCAGACCGTCTGTCCTTCTAACTGGTCCAAATATATGCAAATAATCTAAAAGAGCAATAATAATCAGAAAGAGTAGTCTAGTTACATGTAGGGGTCAACCAATGTGTTTTTTCAGGACCGATGCTGATATTAGTAACTAAGGGTACCAAGAACCGATACTTGGGCCAGATATTCATTTACCATAAATTTGATATTTGTAGTGTGAAAATTTACAACCCCATTTCCAAAAAAGTTGGGACATGCGCAGAATGCAAAAAAAAAATAGAATGCAGTGGTGTGCAAATCATTTTAACCTATTTTATTTAATTGAACAAAAACAACATATCAAATGTTATTTTTTTTTTTTAATGCCTATTTCGAATTTGATGCCAGCAACTTATTTAAAAAAAGTTGGGACGGGGACATGTTTACCACTGTGTTGCATCACTTCTTCTTTTAAAGACACTCTGTAAGAGTTTGGGAATTGCTGTAGTTTTAAAAGTAAAATGTTTTCCCATTCATGCTTGTGTGTAACACATGCAGAATGTGGTTTGGCATTGTCTTGCTGAATTAAGCAAGGGCTTCCCTGAAAAAGACGTTGTCTGGATGACAGCATATGTTGCTCTAAAACCCGTATATATCATTCAGCATCGATGGTGTCTTCACAGACGTGCAGTAATACACCCCCGTACCATCACGGATACTGGCTATTGAACCGTGTACTGATAACAAGCTAGATGGTCCCTCTCCTCAATAGCCGGGAGGATGTGGCGTCCTTGATTTCCTAAAAGAATTTCAAATTTTGAATCATCTGACCACAGGACACTTTTCACTTTGCCTCAGTTTGTCTTAAATGAGCTTGGGTCCACAGAAGGTGTTTCTGGATCCTGTTAATATATAGTTTATTCTTTGCATGGTACAACTTTAACTTACATTTGTGGATACAGTGACTTCACAGACAATGGTTTTCAGAAGTGTTTCTGAGCACATGCACTGATTTCCACTACAGAATTGTGTCTATTTTTAATGCAGTGCCACCTGAGGGCACAAAGATCATGGCCAGCTAATACTGGTTTTTGGCCTTGTCCCTTGCATACAGAGATTATTTGGATTCTCTGAATGTTTTATTGATACTAAAATGTAGATGATGGGTTCTTTTGCTATTTTACATTCAGAAACGTTATTCTTGAGTTGTTGCGCTATTTTCCCACACCGAGTAATGAACTCCTCCCCATCTTTACTTCTGAAACACTGAATAAGTCTATCACATGTATCCTGTGTACAGTCAATTGTTCCTGCGATTGTAGCCCTCTCAGCTTATGAACTCTTGTTACAGTGGAGGCTCTTGAAGAGCTGTAGCTTTCCACTTTGCTATTATTTTTGTTAGTTTGTTGTTTATTGAGTTATCAGTAGTTCTTCCACAAGCAATGTCCTGTTTAGTCTACCGAATTACTGGGATTGTCAGCATCAGTGGTGTGTTTTCTTGTAAATGGTACTTCAGTCTTTATGTACTGTCAGTGATGAAGACGTTCACCATGACAGTAGCTGGATATATTTTTTTATCAAGAGAACTTGCCAATTAAAAATTGTATTACAGTTTGTACTACAGTCAGTGTCATAGCAACACTGTGCAAACTGCTGGGCTTCAGCCTGCATTACTACAGATCGTTTGGAGGGTCAAACTAGGAAAATGCATTGATGGCACTAATATATATTGACATTAATAACATGTTAACTTTGACAGCACTAATTACAAGGTATATTAGTATTATTAAACTTAACCAATGTTTTGTCCAACTTAAAGCGATTGACAAAATTAAATTTATACAATTTTCCCCCAAACCCACATGTAGTGCGTAGGCTGAAACCTATTTGGTGTCCGAAAGTTGGTTTCTGAAACTGTACAACGGGTCCTTTTGAACAAAATTGTGTTGCATAGCTAAAAACTGTACTAACAGCCATCTTAAGCATACTTTTGTCCATTTTGTATACTATAGTATCACCTCATAAGCAAGTTTGTTTAAGATTACTTATAACTTTGTGTGTTTTAAAACAAATGTTTGGTGATTTAGGCAAAAAGTTTGCTAATGCTTTTTACACAATGCTGGTTGACATAAGCATCCATTACTGTAGCTAAATTGGCCACATAGCTCCAGTGCTGAAGTAAAGAAACAAACTTAAGATACTGAAGCAGATGTTTTGATTGACGACATTTGAGAGAAGGGGAAAGTTGTGTACACTTGTTTGTTTTTTTACTGTTTTATTAATTTACATATTTTATAACTTATTTTTGCCAGAATTTTTATTTTACCTTTATTTTACCTTGTAATCCCTATTCTCAGCCAGTGACAGCATCCACTAATGACCAGTTCAAACCATTTCAGTGATATTCCAATCCTGTACCACATAAACTAATGTACGTTTTGTAACCCTAACCTAACCTACCCCACTGTTCCATGTCATGAGTGATTCACTTGGCGATTAGCAACACCTGGCTCTCAAAACACGCTTCATCCCACCTGGCAGGACAGGGAGATACTAGTTGATCCGGATAGTGGGATTGGGTTATGAGAGCATGCAAGCCGGCCAGGCTCTCGGGGACATTCACAGAAATCAGCACGCTTTCATTCCTGTTTAAATGTCAACCAGCTTCCATGGCTATTGTATAAACACAGCTGTAAGGATAGATCAGATTCGGAAACATCTCCCTCCCCCAACCCCACATCTGCCGCCATTCCTCCATGCATGTACTCGTGCGCACACACCATGCCATTTTTCCATCTCCTCTATCTTCCATACTGCTATAATGGTAAAAGTAATAAATGGGCTGCCTACCTTGTGAAAAAAGCATATAAAGTGATGAAGGGAAAAAAATCAGACACTGTAATTTGCTGAATGTTTTAGTCCCATGAAAGAAACACAGACAGCATTAGGCCTATAGTATTTACTTGATATTTATCATTAACAACTATGAAAAGTTATCATATTTAAATACTCAAGCACACGTCTAAACTCAGTGTTTTTGTCTCTTGTAAACTCTAATTTCTTAGTTAAAACTACATCACTGCATAATATATTAATTATTTGTAATTTCACAGTTGACTACAACAGTGACTACAACAGTAATGTATTCGCTCAATATTTTGGCCAAAATATTTGTGGACTATCTTCAAATAGAATTTCAAATTGTGGTCTACTGAAGTGTAGTTCCGTTTTACATTTGAGTATGCAGTATAAGTCAAAATTTTATAGTTACACCAAAATGAATGAATAAAATCATGGAATTTGAATTGAATTGTTTTCCATACAATCATAATCAAATCTAATCTTCTGGTCAGAAATGTACACTGCCACCTTCTAATATAATGTGATTGTACAGTCCTGTTACTGCTGCTGTGACTTTGCAGTGTCCTTTTTGTCTGCACTAATTTCACAAAGTTTCTATCCATCTGTGTGCTATGATGAACAGCTCTCACTGCATCTTCTTCACAGATGGAGACGGAGCCTGGATTTACGATTGAACCTTCTGTGCAGACGGCCAGCGAAGCCCCAGTTGTGCCTAATGGCTCATCAGTGGCCCAAGTGAAGAACGAGGTGCTCAGTAGCACCAGCAGCATCAAGCTCACCTCCGAGCAGCTCGAGGCCATAGAGGACGAGGAGATCCTGGACAAAATGGTATTGACCACCAGACCAGTAAAGCTAATTGAAAGATTCAAGGAAAAATGAAGTTTGCACCAAGGCATGCATGGAATACACATGTAAAACACCTAATCTGAGAATGGTTTTATTTTTTTTCTTTTATTTTTGCTGTAATAGCTTGATGACTCCAAAGATTTTGAAGAGCGGAAAATGATCAGGGCAGCTATGAGAGAACTCCGAAAGAAAAAGAGAGGTGAGTCTGTTACATTTTTACAATTTTTTCTTTATTTCTATTTATTTTTTTCTCAGTTTCTTTGTCTTTTTCCCCTCTGTTTCAGGCTTTCTCTGTCTGAATCTCTGTCCATCTGTGTGTCTCTCTGTCTGCTTCACCTTTTCTCTGTGTCTCTCTCTCACTCTCTGTCCCCCTCTGTTTCTGCCTCTGTCTCACTTTCTGTCTCTCTTTGTCTGTTTCTATCTCCTCTGTATCTGTCTCACTGTTTAATTTCTCTGTTTCAGTCTCTCTGTTATCTGTCTGTCTCTGGCTGAGTCTCTGTCTCTGTCATTCTTTGTTTCTCTGTCTCCCTCTTTCTGCCTTTTTCTCTTGCTTTTGATCTCTCTCTTGATCACCCTACACCCCCATCAGGGCATGTGTGGACCCCAACGGTATTTGCTACCTGCTCTTTTTCTGTTTATGTCCTCACTCTATCTTTCCAATTTCCTCTCTGCCTTCAGAAGCCAGGTTGGGATGTTCTCAGGATGAGCTAGGTATGATGGCTTTTTGTCCATGCCTATTTGTGGGGTTTTGTTACCTGATGTGTGCATATGCCTGCAGCCTATTCACTCATTTTGCACTTGTATTTAGATATAATTGAGAGATAAATTACACTGAAGTTGCATTTGCATGTCCAACTATTATTATTATTATTATTATTATTATTATTATTATTGGTACAGACCACATTTTTGAGTGTTTGCATCATCCAAGAATTCACCCATGTCTCACCTTATACACTATTGGTTATGTGACTCACTGAGATATAATTCTGCAAATTACTGCCAGAAAAAGATCATACAGCTCTTCTATTTATCCTAACTTTTGGCTGCTAAATATCAGACTATTGGACAAGAGTGTGAATGTTTTCACCTTTTGCGTTCTGTTGTTTTATTTTGGGGGCTTAGAAAAGAAAATGTACAGGTAAGGCAGTCAAAGTCTGGCTGATTAAGAGATCAGCTTGTGTTATTGTGTTACTCAGATATTCAGATATTTCAAGTATCTTACACGTTGTTCAGGGATCGTTCTAAGTGATTCTTTTTTGCATTTGCTCTATTCTTCATCATCTTTTTCCCTTCTCTTTCTCCTCCTCACTCTTTGTCTTCCCTTCTGCTCTCCCTTGCTGCTTTCACTCACAGACCAAAGGGAGAAGGAGCGAGAGGTGCGTCTGCAGGAGCTGAGGCAGCAGAGAGAGGAGAGAGGCCAGAAGACTCGTCCAGGCCCAGGCACCGGGGAGGTGGTGATGAAGAAAATTGAGAAGTCTGCAGATGGTTCTACTATCAGTGAGATCACAAAAACCAACCGCTTCGCCCAGTCAGGTGAACAAAGGATGCTCAACAAATTCACATTGCAAAGCAAGCACATGAACAAGATGTGCAAATGGACAGAACGTGCAAATAGCTAACAATAAATCAGTACTAGCTGCCTCCTCACCATAATGTTGATACATACTTTCATTCATTAGCTCCATATTTAGTGGCGTATTTGGACAAGTCCTTGAGGATTTAAAATTCGGATACACACTGAAATCAGTATATAGTGCTAATTATACCTGTCACAGCCATAAAATATTAGCTTCTGATTAATTGCCATAAAAATAATTAAACGTTTTTTTTTTTTCATTGTTTGTTACTATTAAAGTACAAGCCTGAAGTGGACAAATTGGCAGTTTTTTACATAGCTGTTCATATTTAGTAGCTCCCAGGTGATTACAGGCACAGCTCGAGGTCAGTTAAACAAAGAATTAAACAAATATTACTCACTTGCTACCCTCTAAAGGTGTTATAGCCTCAGATAGAAGTTATAAGTTACACATAACTGCATTTTCTGCTTTCTTTTATTTGCATGCATTTGCCCCAACCCTACTGATGAACATGCTCACATATTCATATTCTGTTGTGGCGTAAACATAGAATTATATGTTGAAAATAATTTCAGTCATCTCAAATAATTGTGATCAGGTGATTATGTAATAATTCTGACAGGCCTAGTGCTTACACTGCTGTCAGTGAGTCAGTGCCAACAGGCTTGTCACTGTAATGCTAACTCATCATCGTAAGTTTTTTTCATTCATCAAATCCAGCATTACACTGACGCTATCATCTTTATAAGGCTAGTCTAGGAGCATCCAATATCTTTTGCACGGCCACAACAATTAGGATGCTGTTAATTCCTTTCTGATCAGCTGCCTGCATGGCCATGTGTATGTGCTTCCGAGCAATGGGTTTTATCTGTCCAACAGCAAACAAACCTATTGGAAGCAGTTGTGCACTATCAATGAGCCTTTTAGAACAGTATTGTTGCTAGTTTGAAAAAAGTTTGAACTCCAGGCATTGCGTCTCCAAAAGATATTTATGCTTTTTTTTTTTTGGTAACCTTGTTTTGAAAACCTCCTGCCCTACATGTCACATCAAAACAATAATACTTAAAGAATGACACACTTTCATTTATTAGATACAGCATGAGCATATCTGGGTGGCTCCTAGATTAATTGAACTTGCAAAACTAAAACAAGCAGATTGTTCAATACATGGCTAACAAAGAATTGGTGCAAGCAATCTAATTGCTATAATTATAAAGTATAATTATATATAATTATATAACTATAACCTTAGGCATTCTTTTATTTTTTTATCTAGCATTTGCATTTTTTGGGTTGAACAAAAAGCATTCTTCATTTTCTTTTCTTTTGCCCTTATAACATTTTAACCTGGGTGTCTGTGTGCTTGTGTGTGCCTGTACATGTAGATGATGGCAGCAGGATGTCCCGTAGCACTATAATGGAAGCTACTTATACACAGAAGTCTGACAGTGAGTTACTTCTTTTGTAACTCTTACAACCCTATTTCCAAAAAAGTTGTTTTATTTGTATTTTGCACAGCATCCCAACTTTTTTGGAAACAGGGTTGTATTTACAGCCACATTAAGACTAAGAATTTGCAACATTCTGTATTATCATTCACCCTCACTCTTGTTGTGTTTTGGTTTCAGGGGGGACCATGCAAGCTAAATCCTACAGCTACTCCTCTTCTTCTTCCACTTCGACGAAGAAGGTTGGAAGGTGAGCAAATTAAATTTAAACAAATAAATTTCAAACACTCAAATCAGAAAATATTTTATATAGATCTCGCATAAGAGCTACCAAAAGATGTGATCCACATCTGATTATTCTGTTCATTCAGTGATTTACCTTTGTGTGTTAGGCATGTGATTTAATCAGCTACCAGCTGACCTGAAGAATAACTCTCACATAACTTCACTGTACAAATGTATCTTCTTTTTGATTGGAATATTTCGCTATATGTCTTTGCTAAGATTTTGCATAATGTGAGATGCAATATCTGCTCCTGGTAGTTCAGCATTCTCTGTGGTTGCACACTTAAAAACTTATTTAAATTTACAAGCGAATACTCAATTTCATTTTTTAACTACAAACTACACTTTATTCTAATAGCCAATAAAATAAACAAATACCAAGATAAGTCCTGTATGTTTAAATAACCATCCATTATCTGTACATCATCTGAACCTATGTTACTGAGAATGTGTCTGCGCTTGGATGTTTAAAGATTTAGTTGCTAGTTCATCTTGCTTGTTGATTTGTCAGTGTGTTTGATCGTGAGGATGACACCTCACGCAGTGGAGGCAGCTTGGCGGCACTGGAGCGCAGGCAGGCTGAGCGCAAGAAGGAGCTCATGAGGGCTCAGACCCTGCCCAAAACATCCACCTCCCAGGCCCGTAAAGCCATGATCGAGAAGCTCGAGAAGGATGGTGGAGGGTGAGCACAGCATCTTCATGACCATTCATGGCTCATTTGTCATACTCATGGGTTATATACTGGGTTATATATTATGCTTTATTTAACAAAAACTGTTTTTTTGTTTTGTTTTGTTTTTTTCTTTTTAGTGTTATGTTTTTACTTTTGTTCTGGAGCTCTGAGGCTAATGTGGCAAACAATTAATGGAAGCTTACAGCCCAACAATTGGCATTGTTCAGACTACATACCTGAATGATCATACTCTTGCCTCACACCATTTCGTGTTGTGAAGTAATCTGAAATTGAGGTTTCATAGCAAAAACAGTAGTAGAAGCTATATTGAAGCCTGAATTTGTTTGGAATCAAAGTGAATGGGTTAATTTGCCTTTGGGATTCTTGCGAAGTGGGCGAGCTATATGATCACCAAGTAAAAACACATGCATTTAAAATATTGTGTTATAATAAATTTTGTTTTTGTTTTGATAACAGCTCACCAGCTGCACAAGTAAACAAGGTCCAGCGCTCCACCAGCTTTGGTGTTCCCAATGCTAACTCCATCAAACAGATGCTGTTGGATTGGTGCAGAGCTAAGACTCGCGGCTATGATGTAAGGAGGTCAACGAGCATAACTGTTATTCTTAAGTGTCACTATAAAGCCCTAAACTACAAAAACTAACTATTTTTATGGTGACTTGTTAGAACTACAGCCAGTGTTGTACGATAGGAAGAATTTTCAAATTTTGCTTCACTATGCAGTGCTAAAGGGCGGCACGGTGGCGCAGTGGGTAGTGCTGTCGCCTCACAGCAAGAAGGGCCTGGGTTCGATTCACGGCTGGGCGACCAGTGTCCTTTCTGTGTTGAGTTTGCATGTTCTCACCGTCTCTGCGTGGGTTTCCTCCGGGTTCTCCGGTTTCCTCCCACAGTCCAAAGACATGCAGTCAGGCTAATTGGACATGCTAAATTGCCCCTAGGTGTGAATGTGTATGTCTGTCTGCCCTGCGATGGACTGGCGACCTGTCCAGGGTGTATCTGTCTGTCTGTCTGCCCTGCGATGGACTGGCGACCTGTCCAGGGTGTATCTGTCTGTCTGTCTGCCCTGCGATGGACTGGCGACCTGTCCAGGGTGTATCCTGCCTTCCGCCCAATGACAGCTGGGATAGGCTCCAGCACCCCACTGCGACCCAGAAGGATAAGCGGTTTAGATGGTGTGTGTGTGTGTGTGTGTGTGTGTGTGTGCAGTGCTACTTTAGTTTCATTACAAACATGCTGATAGACTGCATGTAGTCATTTGTAAACCAACTTGCTGTGTATTGCTCTCCCTCATGTTCTTATGGTCTTTTCTCTTTTTTTCCTTTCTCCATGGTTTCAGAATGTGGACATTCAGAACTTCTCCTCCAGTTGGAGTGATGGATTGGCTTTCTGTGCTTTAGTGCACAACTTCTTCCCTGAGGCCTTCGACTACTCTGCACTCAGTCCTAGCAATCGCAGACAGAACTTTGAGGTGGCCTTTAAAACAGCAGAGTGAGTATATAAATGAACACGCACTCACACACGTTTGCTTGTGCCCCTTTTAGCACACAGCAGATGCCCAAATGTTGTAAATGTTTAATGCTACTAATAACTCTTGGGTTTTTAACCATTCTTTCAGTGCCAATAAATATACTTCATCTCTTGATCTTTTAACAGATGAACACAATTGTTACTAATACCTAATAGTATTTAATAAAATTGTGTTGGGTTTGGGAATGAGCAGGCAATCAGAATACAATAAACTTGTGCCCGTTGTCTCAATAAAGTTGCAGTCAAATTGCCAGAAATTACTGATACTACTATGCAGTCCGACACTGATATTGTCCAGAAACAGATCTTAAGGATTAGATTGTGTGCTAACATAGTCAGATTTTATCAATATATCAATATTTATCAATTTTATCAAGACTGTGGGTGTCTGCAGTGCTCTACAAGAAAGGATGTCCTAATGACACTAACCTGTAACCTCCGGTGCTTCTGATACTTTCCTTGTATTAAGCCCTCATAATTTGCTTGCCTTGATGTAATGAAATGTTCAGGGGATCACTGAATAAATCGTACCTCCTCTTGCATCAAATGTCCATAGACAAGTCTTTTGTGCCTTAGGGACTGTTGCTCAGTAATTGCTACTATTTTGTTTCCATTTTCCACTACCCCTCCTCCACCCAGAGAGGTAACAACCCCTACAGGCCAACTCTTTACTAAACCAGACACATCCAGTGACACAAGTGTGTCTTACACTGGCTAAGCACTACTTGGCATCATTTAGTGAATCCTTGACTTGATTTCTTGGTTAACTGTGAATGGGTCTTCAGAGTCCCCTTGACCTTTTCCCTCTATGATTTGTCTCCGGTCAATTCTCCTTGCTCTCTTTTCTACTGCATTTAAAACTGACTGACTAATGTGACCACTGGGCTCTTACACATCAGTGGCTGTTTGGTTAATGCTTTGCATGTATTATTGTGCCTATTTTGTGACCTCTAACACTCAAAACATTTGAGGAACCTGTGTGTACACTGCAAAAAATATCTTTGCAAGTGAACCATCTTGAATGAAGACATTATATCTAATAACATAGTAAAATTATCGTAAGATTATTATTAGAATATTTCAGCTAACTCTAGACCTTTTTTACTTGGAAAAATTAGATCATTTTGCCTCTTTCAAAAAATAATTACGTGATGTGCTAGAGGTGAGAATTTCACTTGAGATTACTTAGGGTGAAAATGTCTAGAAATAGATTGAATAATCTTAACTGACCTGTCCATGCTCCACCCCCAAATGTGTTGCCTGTCAATCAGATGTTTATCCCTAAAAACCTGTATATCTGAAAGAATTTGACATTTTAAACATACAAAATTAATCTGATTTAAAATTAACAACCCACACAATTTTATTTTGACACAAACTGAGTTGTTCTAATTAGGTTGAAAAAGATTAGCAGCTGAGTAGCCCAAGTTCAGCATGTATATGAATCCAGTTTTATAGCAGCAAGATAAAAATGATCGTTATAGCTTGCACATAATGCTAATGATAGTCATATGCAAAAGTTTGGCCACACTCGGTCACATTATATATTTTGTTGATTTTCTAAGTGAAAGTAAGTATACATCCTCTATAGGAAACACACCTCTGCACATTTTAATTCAAAATTACTGTTTATTTGCGGAATTTAACATACAGCGGAAAAAAACAAACACAAAATGTGGCATGTGCAAAAGTTACAGCACATTTTAATCTATATATACTATGTTTATATATGCTATACTATGTATATATATATTTATATACATGCTATACTATGTTAAACTAAGCAAATGAATGTGCAGTAAATGCTATATTTCAATTTTTCCCTGTAGAGAATGGTAACATATTTTCATGTAGAAGATCAACAAAACGTAATTTTACCTGGGGAGTTCAAACACATTTTAGTGTATGTTCTGCTCCAAACGCACCTGATTTAAGTAATCCGCTAATTAACCCCATTAAGCAAATTAAGCCCATTCTGATTTGAAGTGGGTACATATGCAGGGCTGGACTACCTGCCCACCCACCCCCACCCCCCAAAAAAAAATCATATATTTGGAAAAAAATTCCAGGAATGCAATCATCTGAATGGAATTTCTGAACAAGTTAGTGGATAGTGTGCTGACATCAGGGGTGCTTAACTTGGGGGGGCTTCTTTGCCCATGTTACCTTATTATAATGTCATGATTAGAAACTAGATGTGTTGCCAGTCAAGATGTATTTGCCAAGATATTATTTGTACAGTGTACATGAAATAACTTGGTCATTAGTCACCTTTCTTCAATTTGCATCTTTCATCTCGATCACCCAGTACCCACAATCACAACACGCAAAAACCCCACACAAGGTCTGTGCAGCGGGATCACCTCACAACCCGTGTTTGTGTCTAGCACTTGTATTTTTTAGAATAGAGGACAAAAAAAGTTGCTGTTAAAGTCCCTGGTGTCTTGTTTCTGCACCCATGTCCTGGAACAGAAGCACAGCAAAAATATCTAACAACAAAGGTGAATGGATGCAAAGCAGTGCTCCATTTGAGCTTTTGTTGTGTCTGTGCGTGTATGCTCATGAAGCATGAAAGCACATGAGAATGTATGTCTACACACATGTAATGTTGATCCTATTTTTATGTGTCTCTCATTCTCTTTCTCTGTCCTTACTGTCCCCTGTCTCACCCTAACGTTTGGCTGCCCACTGCACCCTTTCTTTCTTTCTTTCCTTCCTTCCTTCCTTCCTTCCTTTCTTTCTTTCTTTTATTCTTTCCTTCCTTTCTCTTTTCCTTCCTCCATCCCTTCCTTCCTGCCTTCCTACCTTCCTTTCTTTCTTTCTTTCTTTCTTCTTTCTTTCCTTCCTTCCTTTCTTTCTTTCTTTCTTTCTTTCTTTCTTACTTTCCTTCTTTCTTTCCTTCCTTCCTGTCTTTCTTTCCTTTCTTCCATTCTCTCTTCCTTTCTGTCTTTCTTTCCTTCCTTCCCTCCTTCCTGCTTTCTTCCTGTTTTTCTCCCCGAATACACTTCTCCTTTCATTTCGTGGTTTGCGAGTAGGAAGCTTGTGGACTGTCCCCAGCTTTTGGATGTGGACGATATGGTGCGGATGCGGGAGCCTGACTGGAAGTGCGTGTATACGTACCTCCAGGAGTTCTACAGAGGCCTGGTGCAGAAGGGCTTGGTCAAAACCAAAAACTCCCCCTAAGGTCCAAACTGACTCTGAACGGTGAGAGTGGCATTTAGGACTTTCAGGAAACCACCTGACCAGTGATCATGGTTGGGCCAGGTTGTTGGGGTGGGCTGGGCAAGAAGTGTGCATTCAGATTAAGATAGTGGTAAGGTGGTGGGACATAAAATGAAGATGTTCATTTGAATGTGTTACTATTTTACTTTAAATGCAGTCGATCAATCAAGATGCGTTTGATGTCTGAAGTTTACTACTAAAATCTTTGAGAAAAACTCAGAAATGGACAAAAGTATGTTGCATAGCGAACAACAACAGTAGCAACCAAGATAAAGTCTTAATTTTTTTTCCCATACTTTTGTCCTTTTTCTTTTGTGGTTAAAAATGTTCTGCTTATCAGTTTGAGAGTGTAACTTGAGCACTAGCTGTAACAGTTAAGGTGAGTTACAGTCTGCTTGCAAAACTCTCTCTTGAATGTTTACAAATGGAAACCTCAACCTGGACTCAAGAGGTTACCATAAGTCACAGTTAAAAAAAGCATTCTGCAAGTGCAAAAAAGGGGCTAAAGAAAATGGAAACTATCAACTTAAAAGGCAAAGCCAGTGCTGTGTATGTGTAAAACTTGTATGGAGTCAGGTGATGTTCTTTATCAAAGCTTTGTCAGTTTCGTTGGATCAACATAATGTTCATATCAAGCGCCTGGCCATGTTCACCATCACTCAGTGTTTGCAAGAGTGAGCAGCGCTCTGGGATCCGACGCCCAAACATGGTCTTGGTTTGGGCCACATGACAAGAGGAAAGAGCACCACAGGATCAAAGATTCCTATCATGCTTTATAGTCTTTGCTTTAGCTACCATTTTAAGATGCATGATGGAAACAAAACGGCACAAAACAGAGGCAGAAATCCTCTTGAAGTTGCCAGGTGTAAATGCCAACAATAAATAGTATGGTTGTGGGTTTTTGAATTTGCACAATAGTCCGTTTGTCTTTTTGGCACATAAGTCAAGGGGATAATTAATTTAACTTTTATGTGAGTCATTAGGATAAAATGGGTCGACACCGGCATCACCCAGTGTTAATAAATCACTTTACAGTACTACAGATAGGTTTGTTCGATGTGTAAGTGTTTATCATCATGCAAAATCCTGACTTTGTAGGGTAGAGGCAGTCGCAAGCAAACGTTTGGGTCCCACTCGTCAAATTACATGTGAAAATTAGTAAACATCCTTTACAGAAAACACACTTTTGCATATTTCAGTGTGTTTTAATCACTGTTTATTTGCAAGGTTAAACAAATTGGGAGGATAAAAAGCAAACACAAAATGTAGCCTGTGCAAAAGTGATTTATTAATATATTTTTAATGCCATTAATAATATTTTATTTATTTTCAATATGTTTCTGTAAACTTGGCCAAGATGGAAAATTGTGCACTGAAATGTGCAGAAAAATGCCACATTTATGTTTATTCCCTGTAGAGGGTGTTTTAGCTTATTTTCATTTAGAAAATCAACAAAACGTATTTTGTCAACAAAACAAAATATTGTCTGATCAGAATATTTTGTCACCTATTTCATTTTTTAAGGACTTTCTTTAAAAATTCTAATGACTGAAATCTGCTAGTATAATTTTATATGGTCAAAATGTAAGCCTAGAGAGGTGAGCCACCAATTGGAAGGTCGCAAGTTCAAATCCTAGGACTGACTAAGCCTGGAGCTATGCTGCTATCAGGCTGAACATGGGTGGGAAAATGACAATGATTTCTCTTGACAATGACAATGATTTCTCTTGTTTGATCAGTAAAGTGTGTAACATAACCTTCATATCAGCCATCGGTCACGTATCGGTCACGCCTAGGCTTGTCACAGTTATCACATAATTGCATGATCACAGTTAATTGAGCTAATTCTAATGCTTTCACAAATACGTGTTTACATCACAAGAAATTGAATGTGAACTAGGTGTAAATTCATCCCTTGGGTTGAGACATATGCATATAAATAAAAGAGGGCAAGACATGTCTGACTACTGCTGTAACACTTTTAGATGGTAGAGGTTTTTGGTTATTTCAGTTTGAGCTGTGTCTGTCATTAGTTGGGAGCTGCAAAGTATCAACAGCTAGGAAGCAAATAGATCCCCAGCCAGTTTGGCCACTTTAGATTTGTATTTTAATAGTTGCACTAAACAAACACTAAAGTGAACTAATTGCAGTTATTTATATGGTAATTAATACCCATGATAGGCCTAGTTAGACCAAGGTTTCCAGTGTCTGTTGCCGATTGCGAGAAAACCATTTTTGGGCTGCATATAAATGTTAGCCCTTAAAGCTCAAGTGTTAGAGTTGATATCCCACCTCGTGGTTAGTTTTGCAAGTTACAGTTTTTTCTTCCTGTCTCTGCAAATATACTGACACTGACAGCTGGGACAAGCCTTTTTGTGAATGTATCTTTATTATTATCTTATTTTTTTCCTTCCTCATTTTTTTCAATCAGGGCCTTTGCTAACTGTATGCCCCTGTTGGAAGTGGAGGACATGATGATAATGGGCAAGAAGCCTGACTCCAAGTGTGTCTTCACCTATGTGCAGTCGCTGGTCAATCACCTGCGTAGATATGAGATGGCCTGTCGAGCCCACTCAGACCACTGACCGCTTACTGACTCTGGCACTCCCCTCAAGCACGTCCGGACGTCCAAAGGCCAGTCCGGAGAATAGAACTGTTCCCCAAAATGCTCTTATTGTGTTTCTTCCAGGTCTTGTAGCCTAGTTTTAACTGTAACCAAAAGCCAATGCATGCAACGTTGTGAGGTCAGGGGGGCCTCATGTAAGCCATATTGCTGCAGTCTAGGATCTACGCTTAGGCACTAATGCTAATATCATATAAATTACCATTAAAAGTTCCTTTATTGAAACTTATATATTTCATCATAAAGACTTTGAGGCAAAAAAAAAAAAGTTTAATGTTAAATCCCAGAAAAGACAATTGTGTTGTACCACTTACCAGCCTTCTAATGCCTAATGTTTTATTTCTCATGCCAGTGGCATGCAGTCAATTGATGTGGATTGCCTATGTATCTGTTTAAAATGGCTTGTAACCTTGTTCTATGGTACTTTTTTGCTTTTATAGGAATTCAGATCTGCATGCTTCACATGTTTACTTGAATTTTCTTTTTAATTATTTTCAAGATCATTTATCATCTATAAGGAACAAGTGACTAAGTTTGGAATGAGCACTGGTATGCAGATGTAATCCACACTGCTTCATGTTATGACAGTACGGCCCCCTTTGTTCAAACAGCAGCTGAATCTTTTAACCGCATAAACGTTTCTTACAGTCATTCAACATATTTGTTCAAAGTATTTGTTAACCGGTACTCAATTGTTAAATATTTTCTTTCAGTTGGGTTTAAACAGTCCAGTTTAACAAAATGTAAAGGAGAGGTAAACAAGGAATTAGACAACCATCCAAACACAGTCACATAAATAGACAGTACAACCTACATTTTCCCTTAATTTATGTTTTAGGTTATGAATATTTTTAAATGTTTTTACTTTTTTCATGAACTATGCTTTGAAGCAAATATAAATTCACATAAATGACATATGGCTCCTCAGTCGGATAAGTTATCACCCTGTTTATAGGGTTTTTGCTTTTGCATATTTTTAAAGTAAGGCTTTTGAGCCGGCTGAGTTTAATTTCAGCCATAAGTACGTTGGGTCCAGTATTGTTTAACAGTTGACAACTTGAGCTGAAATGGTGTATGCTTTATTACTAAATTTTATCATAAAAGTTTAAAGATTATATATATATATATATATATATATATATATATATATATGGCTCTTGTGCTAGTTTGTAACTAATTTTGGTTTAATTTGGAAATGATCTTATTTAAAAAAGAAAAAAGAAAGAAGGAAATGGACGTTCAGGGCAGAGCTCAAAGCTATAGTAGCTTTTAATTTATATGGTAAGTCATAGTTTGTATAATATGGCAGTGAACATTTTTGATGGCACCCACTGAAGAAATTAACTACCAAAACTAACTTTATTTAATACAGGTTCAACACTTTATTTTTTGGTCCATTTTTAATCTGTTGCCATTTTTGGCTTTTATTGATCTTTCTTAAATGGGTGGTGGTGATCACAACTGAAAGTGTCAAGGAGTGTTTTGCTGAATGCTTGTGTTAAAAATCATGGCACTGTTGGACAGAAAGTCCAGTCTGGTGTGAACAAAATATTTGATGTTTTACTGCATTTCCTTAAACACAGCCCTCCATTGTTTTGCAACATTAGCATTTGTGAGTGAACTCGTACTTGTGTATATTGTTTTTTTTTCCATTTAAAATCCTAATAATCTTTTTTTCAAGAGTGTCATTTTGACTGGACTGAGCTTTTAAGTATTTAATTTATTGTTTTCCAGATTTTCTGTTTAGCCTTAGCCAATAGCCAAAATAGGTGTCGTGTATTAGCATTAGCTCACTAAAATGCTAATTCGCCCACTGTGCTGCTCAGCAATGTTACTGTCAGGGGAGGAACACCCTACCAGCTATTTTTCTTTCCAAATGAGCAAGAAACACCACATGGCACAGCTAAGATCCAAATCTGTAATTTGAGCAGCACCTTTGTACTCGAGATGGTGTTATTTGCATTAGAGTTGTAACGTGGCTTACATAGAAATGCATATTTGTGGGTGTGGTGGATCCTTCAAAGCCATAGCACTGCTACACATTCACTGCTGTATGTAAAAGCATCCTTGCCAAAATAATGGAGTCAATCGAAGCTCCTTCAAGGGAATAGGGGAAAGGCAGAGACATTAGGTTGAATCAGATATGGTCCGTATTGCAATCAGTGCGAAACTCGCTGTCACTATGTAAGAGAAAAAACTGCCTGCCTGTCCAAGGCCCATTTTGATTTTACATGTCTCCACAGAAGAATATTGTTCATTCAGCATTTCTGTACACTGCAAGTTAATATGAAGTGACTATTAAACCCTTTAAGAAACCAAGTTTTTGCTTCTTTGTCTGGAAGTACATCTGCTTCCCATAATTGGGTACTGGCATACTGTTTTGCTGGAAGTGATCGTTCTGATGAAGTGCATTTCTTTTATATACAGTATTGTACAAACAGAGACCGCCCTTTCATTTGTTATTCTCAGCCAAAATAACCATTATGTGCAAAATAATATTTTAACAGAAAATTACATACAATATTCAAGAACAAAATGCATCAGTTTTTTCAGTGTTTAGTGTGTCCACCCTTTTCCATAATTACAACTTCCAAATTGTTCAGGAGACTCCAACTTTTCAAAGATATCTGCAGGGATACTTTTCTTGTAAACATCTACAAAGTTCAGTCTTAGAAGTTGGTTGCATTTTCTGTTTCTCACAATCCAAGTTATCTTATTTACAGTCTATAAATCCTTACCCCACATGTCAAAATCCTGGTGTTCTGGTACAGATTTTCTGTCATTTTTGTCTAGTTCCTTTTCTCAATAACAGCTTGACACCAACACATCCTGTTAGACCCATAGTGTTAATTTGTCTTCTCACAGTGGAAGGATGGCTTGGAAACACCTGTATCTTTTTCAGATCTGAAGCAAAAATGGAGCTTTTTTTCTTGCCTTGCCTCTAAAAGATGAAAGCATTAACTACTGTTTATCTGATCGGACAAGTTGGTGATGTGTCAGACTTGCATGGTTGTTAGAGGGCACATTATCTTTTAATTTTGGAAATTCCTGTTTTTTCACTTGTTTTCCTTTGACTTTCCTTCCTTTTTATGCAAGTGGAGATATACCTTATATCTAATCTCCTCAGAAATTTCTCCTTTCACCATTTTAGGTAGACATAAGAAAAAAAAATTGCAAGGCAGCTAAGATGCATTTGGGTAGTTGCTTGCCTAAATGTTATTTTGTCATTGAAGGGGAACAATGTCAATGACACCTTTGGAAACACCTTTTGTTGGGAGGACACTATATAACTCATTGGTCTTAAAACTGGAATGAATGAGGTATTAAAGCAGCAGTAGGGTGCTCATAAGTAGTGGACAAATCAATTTATGTATTTGATACACTTAAAGGTGTGGCTGTTGTGTAATTTTCTGTTAAATATAGATTTCCTGTGTTCTACTGCAAAAATAATCAAAACGCTTATGCTGTAATTAGATCAAAAATATTTTATTTTTTCTCAGTGTTATCATCATGCTTTCCACCCAGCACTCTATTGAGACCCTGCCATACCCCTCAAGAACGTACATCATCAACCCCAACCAATCAGACAATTTTACGGTTTGGGGCGTCATTCAGTTCCTGTATGGGCAGAAACAGGGTTACATATATGCTGTTCTTTTAATACCACACACGAGTTTAAGTGGATCTATTAAATCAATACACAAGCACACGTACTGCAAATGCAGACTTTGTAACAAAAAGTACAGCAGATGGTATGTGCCTTAGTCTGAAAACTAAATTATAGCAAGAATGAGGGTGCATCACTCAAGTATTCCTAACTGATTTCTCCTATGTAGACTATAAATCTTTATGTGCTGAGTCTAGCTCAGACTGGTGTTCCTCAGTCTTAATTTCAGTCTGCGCAGGCGGTTGGGTTGTGTGGTGCTCTTTGAAGGGGCTGTCTTTGGCTGGTGAGAAGCGGAACTCCTCTGGCACCTCATCTTCAGGCTGTGCTTTTTTATAAAAGCCAAGCTCAGCTAAGAGTTTGTTGATCTCTGTACGGGTCATATCTGACAATGGGATCCGCTACAAAGGAGAAATGGAGGAAGAGGGAAGAGTACAGCAGAGTGTTGATGAAGACCTAAGATAAGCATTCCAGCTCTGTTCAATAGCCAGACTGGATAAACAAGTCAATCTCAATGAAAGAGCTAAACTTCATTTAAAAGTGAGGTTAAGTAATACAGCAAAATCTAACATGAAATCTCCAGACATTTTCAAAATACTTGGTATTAATCAAAATATTTTTTATATATCCAAGTAAAAATGAATAAGGTACTGGCACAATAGGCTGACATCCAATCAGATACTTGTTTCTATGCCCTGTATGCTGTCCACTGGCTGCTGTTTATAGGTCCTCTATAACCAGTCTTTTTTAAAAGAGTGTTATTTAACACTGATGCTACTCATGATGTACGTGTATTGTGACTTAATTTATGACAACAATATATCATCATACTGTGCACTTTAGTCCTCCTCTGGGTGTGGAATATCGTGTATATTTACAGTTGTTAAGTGTTTGTCCAGCAGATGGCGCCAGTAAGAAACTGCAGTGAAGAGCTAAAGGCTCTCAAACAATCTTCAAAGGTGAGGCAGAGGGCATTTCTACAGATGAAAGTCACTAGTGATGGATTATCTACTTAATATAGGTGCAATGTTTGTGGAGACGTTTGTACATGTTCATAACATGTTGTCTCCCCTGATATATAAAATATTCTGCTGGTCATCCCAAAGTAACAGATCAAAAACAAAGTTTTAAACAGTAAATCTTAGCATATTTAATACTAGTTTTATAGTTGTAAAAATGCATTGATCTGAAGGTGGTCATTTTTTTCAACTGATCAAGTGTGTGCTTTTTATAAAAATAAGATTCTCAGGCAATAAAAAACAAAACATTGCTGTGCAAACAGTTCTAGGCTCATTTGAGCATTCAGTGTACCTTTATATATATATATATATATATATATATATACACACACAAATAACTCTGAATTGTGCCAAAATAATCAAAGTCCAAATGGCTCTCTGCTATTTGCAAATTTGTCTTTTTGCTGTGCTACCACAAGTTTAATGCCAAAGAAGGCACTACATTTCATATTAGGGGTGGGAATCTCTAGGCACCTCATGATTCGATTCGACGCAGCACGTTACAGCTATTCTACCCGTTTTCTTTAGTGATTGTATAACTTTGGTTTTGGTCTCGTTGTAGAGACGGGGGGATCGCTGTGTCAGGAAAGTATCTTTGAGACGGGACGTGTGCAACATAGCGCGAAAGCCCTGTTTCGCAACGACTGAGAATTGCCGTGCAGACTGCAGGTCACATAGCAGTGATGCGTTATTCGCATTTATAAGCAGCGCAGTTGGTTTCCTGGTACGTTAAATCTGCAACGAGAGACTGTCAAACAGTAAACACTGGCGAAGCTGAAGTCGCTTCTCTTTCGAATTCTCCGGTTCCACCTTAAATGGTGCCGCATTTACATTCGGCGCCTCAGTTAGAATTTAAGGTGGAACGGGTAAATTCGAACAAGAAGCTGGAGAATAAGAAGCAACTTCAGCCTCGTAAAACAGTCGAACGTTGAGAGACATTTAACTGATCTACTTCTGAGGAAAAGTTTTCTGGCGGAAATGGGAGGAAAGCGGCCGTAGGCGAAGCTTAACGCAGAATAGAGTAAATCTGCGTTTTCGTTTATATTGTTTAGCCTATACTAGGACATTATCACACACTGACCCATACTGGACATTAAATGTTGCGGCTCCCAAGCTGGTTTGATTTTTGTTGAAAGGACAAAATGGCTCTTCTGAACATTTGTGTTGTGACTCCTGACCTAACCTGGCTTTAATGCAGAGGGAGCCGGTCGGATTTCTCACTCATCCAGTAGTGTTTTTGTTGTGTGCCGTCACAGACTGTCCGGGCGCTGCACTTACCCACTTCCAAGTTCCGCCTTTTGCGTTCCGTCAACAATACGTTATAAATTAAATATTTAGAAAATCGATTTTTGACGTTTGTGAATCGATTCAGAATCGTTCACGTCTGCATCGCGATGCATCTAAGAATCGATTTTATCCCACACCCCTATTTCATATGAAACCCACTCCCACCAGCCAGTAGAGAAAAAAACTCTCAACTTTGTATGTTTCTGGTAGCATGACAATGTCATTATTTTGACTTAATTAGTCAATATTTTTCAGAATATAAGTCATTGTTTTGACTTAACTTTCAACTTTCATTTCTTGAATAGTGTCATTTTGAAAAAGTAATATAGTAAGTAAATATTCAGAGAAAAGTCCTTATTTTGTAGATTTCTCAAAATGTAGATGTAACATAAAATAAGTAATTTTGAGAAAAGAAGTCATTACATGCAGATATTCTCACAGAAGTCAAAGCCTTGAAATAATGCTTCCAAAAACCTGGTACTTGGTGGGAATGGGCTCTTAAAAATTTCACCCAATCACAATCTTTTGAAACTCTCTGAAAATGAAATGACTTTTTATTTGTAAAGAGGGGTTAGAGCCCCCAGGGATTGGAGCTGTGAACCGATATAGGACAGTGTGTTTTTTTTCCCCCTAGACATGTCATTTCTATCTGATATGTATCTAGAAGTATTTTGTAGAAGAAAAATACCCGAACCACACATATTCAAACAAATCTGAAGAGGTAAAGAAAAGCCTCTTTTTAGCCTGTCAGCCTGCTGTTTTATCATAACCGTTGAGCTCAGTATTGTAACTAATACAGTTAACTTACATCTAGCTCCTCGTAGTAGTGGTTTAGGAGGACAAGCTCAGGGTCTGCCCCAGGAATGTGCTTCATTACCAAGTTATGACTGAAAAACAGGCAAGTCAAGGAAAAATTAAATGGAAAGAGTTCAGGAGATAGATTAGTGGACAGTTACAGACTGGAAGCTATAACACAGAGGCATTCAACTCTGCTCTTGGAAGGCTGGTGTCCGGCAAAGTTTGCTGATTTCTCTGTGCAAACTCACTTGAATACCCCCTTTATAACACAAAAAGATAATGTTTTATATCTTTTCTCCATAAGTACAACTTTTTTCTTATTAACTAAATGATCGCCCATAATCAGTTCTATCTATCTGTGTTTTGCTTTGCAGGGCTCTATACCTCATACAGTGCTGTGAAAAAGTATTTGCCTGGATTTCATCTGTTTTTGCTCATTTGTCACATTTAAATGTTTCAGATCAACCACCAAATTTTAATAAGGACAACACGACTAAACACAAAATGCAGCTTTTAAATGATCATTAAATTTAGTGAAGATACAGATTTAT